TCTCTCTCTCTCTCTCTCTCTCTCTCTCTCTCTCTCTCTCTCTCTCTCTCTCTCTCTCTCTCTCCTCTGCAGCTAGCGCTACACCTAGCGCTCTGCCTGGAGCTGTGCAACCAAAAATATCCCAGCACTGCTGCTCCTGAATGCCGCGCCTCCAAGTCTGTCCCGAACAGACCGCTGGCCGGTACTAAGTACCGGCGGTGGCCTGTTCGGTCTGGCTGCTGAGGAAGCCGTGCCGTGATCTGAACCGTCAAACCGATTTGCGGTTCAGATCGGACCCGCGGGGAAGTGGCAGCCTCAAACTTCGGCCGCCTGGCTCAAACGAAACACGTTTGAGCCGGTTTCCCGCTCAGGGCCTGCGGTAGCAGACCCGGGTCTAAAACCGGTTGCTGGAGGCCTACCATCGGCCTTTCCAAAGATCCGGCCTTTAACCCAGGCCGGACGGGCCCAGCATGGCCACGGTCTGGGATAACCCCCTAGATCTAGCCGTCGGGCCTAACAGGGCCCGTGTGGAATCCAGTATGTAACACAGAGAGAGAGAGAGTGAAAAAGTGTGTTTGATAGATTCTTTATACAGACCGTTGGAGTAGACGACTGTAGAATGACACAAGAAGTCAATCAGTGTTCGGGTTGCAGGATGAGGAGTCGCTGTTGCCTATGGTAGCTGTTGCCTATGGTAGGTGACCACTCCTGCAGACCGGACAGCACCGATTCGGGTGCGGACTGTGGAAGCATCGCATCCAGTTTGCGCAGTTTTAGTTGCTGCACTGAATGGCACAACGTAGACAGATATCGCAGGCAACATGGCTCCCACAGGCAAGGAACAGAGGGGCACGCCGGCCGCAATTGTAGAGGCATTGCCGTTCGAGCCCCTGTCTACAAATTGGACATGACATGTCAGGGTACAGGACGTGAGTGCAATATTGACTGTCATCATACGTATGAAAACAGAAAGACGCATGGGCTGTGCCTTCATAATCCTCATGACACAATGCATGTAGCCCACATGCTAGCCGAATCTAATGTGTGTGTGTGTGTGTGTGTGTGTGTGTGTGTGTGAAGGGTTGTATGCATGTATGCACACGATGCCATGCACTCTCTGCCAGGCAGGGCTTCGGTGAGAAGACCGGCATGCTGAGAGACTCTCTTGCAGGAGGGACTACCTTATGACGATATGGGAACTACTAGGGCAGGGCGTGACCAAAACGTCTTGTGTGCTTCGTGGACCTACTCGTAGGCATGGGACAGATGCATTCATCTGCGGAAGGTGGGGAAAACAATGCCTGAGCATATATGCCTGGAATACAGCTGCGGTATGACCCAGGACACACACAATAGTACATCACAAACAAACGCAGAAGAAGGGGGGAAGGTAAGACAACAACGCCAAGAGGCAGGGAGGCAATGCGCTAGTATTGGGTGACAAGCCACCGCAGGGCACATAGACTGGAGGGCACGG